CCTGTTTGTAAAATTCAACAAAGCATTTCCTTAGAAAACCGGGGGTCGCCTCTACTACGGAAATCTGAATATTCTCAAATATTTTGTTGAGAACCTACACTCTCACTCAAAGGTGGCATTTGTTACCAGCGAGGCTTTTGTCAGAAGGAAACGCAGACACGGACAGGAAAAGTCTGCTCTCTGGAAGGGCAGTTGTTAGCAAAACCCCCCCACTGCCCAGCAAAATGCCGGAACGGTCTGTGAGGGCTGACTTGCTAACTTCACCTTGTCTCCTGCAGCGGATAAATACTCAAAAGCACCGGGGCTCATCCTCTTGCTCTGTCAGACAGGGCGGTGAAATGATTCCAAGAGCGGTGTTTCCCCTTCACCGCTCTACCGTAAACATCGTCATCCTTACTTTCCATTCTTTCTCTCTCACCTAGTCTGACCCGCCTCAAAGTCATCCTCAGCTGGCAGCAGGACTCAAAACAAGGTTGATTTTTTTAGTATTAGTCTCACCCGTTACCCTGTGTATTGGAACACTGCAGTATCTATAGCCCCGTATCTGCCTACGAAGCCAGACCAGCTTTTTTTCCGTCCCCCTCCTTCTTTTATTTTGCACTATTTGAAGGGAGATATAAATCTCCTGGCTACAATCTGGCAGTTTCAGCTCTGGGCAGCAGGCCACGCAGAAATCCAAAGCTTCCTTTAGCTGCACTGGGCTTCCTTCTTTCTGAATACCTGGAAGCAGCCAATGCCTACATTTATTAACTTCTGAAAGCCGCTGCCTTCCTCCCACACTGCTAGTCTTAGCTCACCTGCTATTTTGATGTTGAGGTTAGCATCCAGGAGTAGATTTTCTGCCTTCAGATCTCTGTGGACTATATTACGACAGTGACAAAAGTTGACAGCAGCCACTATTTGCTTGAACTTTCTCCGGGCTTCCTTCTCGGCCATACGTCCGTGGGCCACCAAGTGATCTGTAAGGGACGAAGCGAAGAACAAAGGGGTTATTCACACGGGGAGCGCAACCCGGACCGAGGCTGCTCGCAGGCTTGTTGGGCACCAGGGTGTTCTCCAGGTTCCAGGAGCCCCTGGGGTCCCCGCTGAAGCTACACGGGAAGGGACTCTGGCACACCACTGCCAGGCCAGCCCTCACCTGGGCTGCCTCCAGGTAAAAGGCTTTAGAATGATAAACCAGAGGACAACCGACAGTGGTGGCTGGGACATCAGAAGG